TCTATTTTTCATATTTTTTTAGTTGGAACAAACAAAACTTAGTTATTATTAATTTTATTTAATAAAATTTTTATTTTGAATAAATTTTTATTTATTCAAATATTTAATTATTATTTTATAATTGAATTCCAAAAATTTTAAAATTGAAGGTGTTAAATTTATAGATATAATGTTTTATTTTTAATTATTTTAAAAGCAATTTTAATTGGAATTGTATAATAAATTATTGTTTAATTCAAAATTTCTTTTTTATTCAATTATTATACTTAATTTCTAGTGACTACTCTTGTAAGAGACTATTTTACACTTGTTATTTTAGTAACAAAATCATTGGATATTGGTGTTTATTGAATTTTCAAAAATGCCCAAGATATGTTTTTTTAAGCCTAAAAATTCTATCACACATTCAATTTGTGACTTTTTTTTGTTTCGTTATTGATAATAATAGTTGTAATAAGTTTTTTTGTCATACATAATCCTAATTGTGACTAACATGGTAGCATTTGTTTCATTTTTTTTGTTACAGATAATTTTAGTTGTGATTAAAAGGAAACATCACAAATGATTCAATATTAGTGATCAAATTTTATGTCACAAATAAATTCTTTTGTGATGAGTTATACAAGTTACAATTGAGGTTCTTTTTTATGTTTAATTATTTTCTCACAAATAATCATTATTGTAATGCAAAAAATCGTTGCAAATACGATAATAATTGTGTCTATCTTGATGCTAACTAAGATCATGATTTGTTGTCATGAATGCAAAATTAATTACTATTAATTTTAGTGACTCAATATTTGTAATGGACAGTGACCAACTAAATTTTAGATACAAATATAATTTGTAACTAAAAAATTTAATTTTGATGACTAATTTTACTGTCACAAAAAATCCATTGCCTTGTAGTATATAATTATTATATATCATTATTAATGAATAAACTATTTATTTTCTCTCCTCTTAAATTACACCATTATAAATCAAATTATTATTTAGGTTGAGCTTTATGTTTATCCTCAATAATAAAATTATAAATTATAACTATTGTTGTAATTGTTTTAAAACTTAATGTAAATAAAGCAATAAAAA